AGCTGAAATCCAGAGTCGGATGTTCAACCGCCCGGGTGACCCAGGCGCCCCGTAAGGTTATAGATTATGTTCTTGTTGGAATTCCAGCAGGACAGGAGCACGAGGCTGATTCCCTTCCCCTGTTCCTCCCTCCAGAGCGGCTAATCCAGAGTACAGAACGGGGAGTCTCCACATGGCGTGGGGGCCAAGCAGGGTGCTGACTGGAGGGGGCAGTCGTAGAGAGGCAGGCACACCCTGGATGGCCTGGGCGCTTGTTCCAAAGGAAGATCTGGGGCATTTGCATAATTCATCTAGTTAAGTTTTTTTTTTCAGGTTTTTATTTAAATTCTAGTTAGCATACAGCATAATAGTGTTTTTAGGAGCAGAATTAATGATTCCTCTCTTACGTCCGACACCCAGTGCTCAGCACGACCAGTGCCCTCCTTAGTCCCATCCCCCACCCCCTTCCTTCCATCAACCCTCAGCTTGTTCTCTGTCATACTCTCTTAGAGGTGTTTCCCTCTCTGTTTTCCCCTCCTCTTCCCGTATGGTCATCTGTTTTGTTAAATTCCACATATGAGTGAAATCATACAGTCTGTGTCTTTCTCTGACGTCTTTCGCTTAGCATAATACATTCTGGCTCCATCCACGTCGTGGCAAATGGCAGGTTTTCATCCCTTTTGGTGGCTGAGTTACACGACGTTGTATATACGTACCGCATCTTTTTTATCCATTCATCAGTTGGTGGACGTTGCGTTTCTTTCCATAGTTTGGCTACTGTTGGCAGTGCTGCTGTAAACATTGGGGTGCACGTGCACCCTCAAATCTGTATTTTTGCACCCTTTGCGTAAATACCTATAGTGCAATTACTGGGCCGTAGGGAAGTTCTATTTTTAACTTTTTGAGGAACCTCCATGGTGTTTTCCACAGTGACTGCACCAGTTTGCTTTCCCACCAACACTGCACGACGGTTCCCCTTTCCACATCCTCCCAAAACCTGTTGTTTCCTGAGTTGTTAATTTTAGCCATTCTGGCAGGTGTGAGGTGGTATCTCATGGGGGTTTTTGATTTGTATTTCCCTGATGATTGGTGATGTCGAGCATCTTTTCATGTGTCTGTTGGCCGTCTGGACGTCTTTGGGAAAGCATCTTCTGTCCATTTCTTAACTGGGTCTTTTGTTTTTTGGGTGTTGAGTTTGAGAAGTTCTTCATAGGTTTTGGATACTAACCCTTTAACGGGTAACATTGTTAGCAAATATCCTCTCCCGTTCTGTTCTGTTGGTTGCCTTTTAGTTGCGTTGACGGTTTCCTTCTTTGTGCAAAAGCTTTTCGTCTTGATGAGGTCCCAGTAGTTCATTTTTGCTTTTGTTTCCCTTGCCTCCAGGGACGTGTCTAGTAAGAAGTTGCTCTGGCCGAGGGCAAAGAGGTTGCTGCCTGTGGTGTCCTCTAGGATCTTGATGGTTTCCTGTCTCACATTTAGGTCTTTCATCCATTTTGAGTTTATTTTTGTGTCTGGTGGAAGAAAGTGGTCCAGGTTCATTGTTCTGCATGTCGCTGTCCAGTTCTCCCAACACCTTTTGCTGAAGAGCCTGTCTTTTTTCCATTCGATATTCCTTTCTGCTTTGTCCAACATTAGTTGACCATATAGTTGTGGGTTCATTTCTGGGTTCTCTATTCTGTTGCATTGATCTACATGTCTGTTTTTGTGCCAGTACCATACTGTCTTGATGATTACAGCGTGAAGTCCAGAATGGTGATGCCCCCAGCCTTGGTTTTCTTTTTCAGGATTGCTTTGGCTGTTCCGGGTCTTTTGTGGTTCCATGCAAATTTTAGGACTGTTTGTTCTAGCCCTGTGAAAAAATTCTGGTGGTATTTTGATAGGGATTGCATTAAATGTAGAGATTGCTTTGGATAGTATTGACATTTTAACAACATTTGTTCTTCCTGTCCAGGAGCGTGGAACCTTTTTCCATTTTTTTTGTGTCTTCTTCAATCTCTTTCACAAGCTTTCTACAGTTTTCAGAGTAGAGATCTTTTATCTCTTTGGTTTGATTTATTCCTAGGTATCTTATTGTTTTGGGTACAACCGTAGATGGGATCAATTCCTTGATTTCTTTTTCTGCTGCTTTGTTATTGGTGTATTGAAATGCAACGGATTTCTGTGCATTGATTTTATGTCCTGCTGCTTTGCTGAATTTATGTGTTCTAGCAATTTTTTGGTAGAGTCTTTTGGGTTTTCTACATAGAGTATTATGTTGTGTGCAAGTAGTGAAAGTTTGATTTCTTCATTGCCGATTTGGACGCCTTTTATTTCTTTTTGTGGTCTGATTGCTGAGGCTAGGACTTCCAGTAGCACGTTAAATAGTTAATGGTGAGAGCAGACATCCTTGTCTCGTTCCTGATCGTAGGGGAAAGACTCTCAATTTTTCTCCATTAAGGGTATTGGCTGTGGGTCTTTTCTATATGGCCTTTATGATGTTGAGGTATATTTCATCTATCACTACTTTTTTGAAGGTTTTTATCAAGAAAGGATGCTGTATTTTGTCAACTGCTTTCTCTGCATCTATTGAGAGGATAATACAGTTCTTACAGACCATATGGTTTTATCAAACATGGCCTGTCATGTTGGCTGATTTGCAAATATCGAACCACTCCTACAGCCCAGGAATAAATCCCACTTGGTCATGGTGAATAATTCTTTTAATGTACTGTTGGATTCAATTTGCTAGCATCTTGTTGAGAATTAACTGAAAAACAAAACTAGAAAAGAAATGCAGGTAAACAGACATCAGATCACTTCGGGGGAAGACTTTCCAAGTGTAAAATCAGCGGGAAAAGTCGCAAGCAAAAACATCTTTAGATTTGACTGTCTGAACAGCATACCAGTTAGAACTTCCGTGGTCCAAAAGGGTAAGCAGAGGGCAGGCTGGAAATACGTGCAAGATGTTCCTGTCACTAGCAGGTGTAAGTCGCTGATATTAAAGCTGATAGCCATTCAACGAGAAGCCATAAGAACAAGCACAGGCGCGGAAAGGAAATCTACGAGGTTCAAACCCAGAAAGGAACGTTCCACCCCGCCAAATCCCGGAAATGCAAACGTTAGCTGAAGCTGCTGTCCGCCGTGTGTTGGCTTAGCAGGAGAATTTTAGATTAAAAATGACCTTGCTGGCTGGCATGCGTCCAGCACTCTGGCCAGTGGATGTCCTCCTGGGACACGGCAGGACGGTATTGTCCCAGTGCTCTGTAAATGATGGCTTGGACCTCTCGGTATCCAGCAGGAGAAATGTGGTTAAACTCGTGACAGTGTAGCAATGCGCTTGGCTCTGTGAACACGTTTCACAGAGAATTCTAGATACAGTTGTGAACAGCCGTCGTAAAGAAGGCGGCTGCAGCGGGTGCGTGATGTACGTGTATACGTGCTATGCGTCCCGCGTGTCCTACGTGCTATGTGTGTGTACGCGGTGCTCACCTGTGCAAAATAGGTTGATCAGGGCGCCTGGGTGGCTCAGTCGGTTAAGCGTCTGACTCTTGGTTTCAATCAGGTCATGATCTCACTGTTCGTGGGATCAAGCCCCGCGTCGGGCTCCACGCTGACGGCACGAGCCTGCTTGGGATTCTCTCTCCCTCTCTCTGCCCCTCCCCGACCGTGCTCTTTCTCACTCTCTTTCTCTCAAAATAAATTAAAAAAAATAAAATAAGTGGTCAGCACAGAAAGAAGAGAAGACAGTGTTGCACCGTGGTCTCCTGGTGTTGAAGTTGTGGGTAATTTCTTGTTTTCGTATTTTCTCCGTCTGTAAGAATTTCTTTTAACGAACAGGGATTACTTTTGCCATCATAAAAGCACCATCTGCCATAATGTGGGGACAGTAGGTGTTTCTTTCCCTTCTGGAGCCCTGCCTTGCCCCCCCACCCCCCGCAGCCGGTTCAGGACCCCCCCGCTGTGTGCCCGGAGCCATTCTGAGCTGAGCCTGTGTAGTTGGGACTC